AAACCCTACAAAATGATCTTTCAATCGCGAAAATTGGTCCCAAAGGACAAACGACATCGTATTTTAAGCCATTCAAGGGAATTCAAAATAAACTAGTTAACCGACTCCAAAATCTGTTCAACCTGTGTATGCAAACTGATTAGTACTTTTTAGAAGTTACAGACGTAACAACTTAATTTGCCTTAGTCCGGGAATGAAAAGTTCTGAGGTGGTTCGAGGTGGAGTTCGACTCGTGCCCTTTCAAAGAGTTTGCCTATACCGGGATCTTAAATCTTTTGTTGAAACTACAACATCTTAAAAACCATTCAAAGTCTCAGTGTTTTAAAGGTTTTACCAAATTCTGAATCTTGAATTTATGTCTCCGGAATCTTCAAATATTTTCAAAGTTTGAATCAACAAGATAATTTCTAGATTTCAAAAAGACAGTTCATAGGCAGTGGCGTTGCGTAACCTTACTTTTTATCTGTTAACAAATGAAAAATAAGCTTAAATTGATACACATAAATACAACTAGAAGACTCTGTGCAAATTAGAACAGATTTGGATACAAATATCGATATAAATTCCGTTTAAGAAGTCGGAGAACAGGTAAAAAGTGGATTTAAGCGACGCCACTGTTCGTAGGATCATTTGGGAATTTTCGCAATAATTTCCTTAGAATCATTCCAAGATGTGTTCAGAGTTGCTATCGGGAATCCTTTGCCCCTCGCGCGCCGCTAGCACGCCTCTATTGTTGGGAATCAACAATATTTTACAGTGGTTTGTTTACACTTCTATAGAGGATAACTGTTGCAAGTTTGATCAAAGTAGTCGATCACGTTCAGAAATATCGTCAAATGGAACTCGAAAAAAGAAACAATATTGTGCACAAACATCTGCAAAAACCGGAGTAGTCCGGTTCCAAGCTGGCTAAAGTGCTGATGATGCCGAAACCAACAGTTTGTCGAGTGCTCAAAACCTACAAGGAAATCCTGGGTGTGGAAAGGAATCAGCAGACCTACGAAAAAACTGGAACCATGGATCGTCAGCTGCGCAGCAAGGTGTTGAGGTGTGTTAAAGCCAACCCCGGTCTTTCGATCCGAGATCTGACCAGAAGGTACAACGCCAACTTTCAACCGGTGCTGAACATCCTTGCCAGGGAAGGATACAAGTCGTACAAAGACAGTAAACATCAGAACCGGCACAAGAAGCAGAATTCCGTGGCTGAAAAGCATGCAAGGATCTTGTAGGACCGTGTTTTGACGAAACACAAGGGCTGCACATTGATCGATGACGTCATTGAACATACTTCAAACTCGATTTTAAGCAGCTTCCCGGTCAAAAGTTTTACATCGTGACTGGACGCGCCGGGAAGATTCAAGTTCGTGTTTGCCGACAAGTTCGCGAAGAAGGCCATGATTTGGCAAGCGATTAGTTGTTGTGGCCTAAAAACGGAACCATTCGTCACATCTTCGACGATAACATCCCAAGTTTACATCGAAGAATGCCTGAAAAATCGTGTATTGCCGTTCATCCACAAGCATAGGGGCAAAGTCATCTTTTGGCCCGATTTGGCCAGCTGCCACTACTCCAAGGTGGATCTGGAGTGGTATGCTGCCAACAAGATCGGTTTTGACCCCAAGCTAATGAATCCTCCGAATTGCCCGGAGTTTCGACAAATCGAAAAATACTGGGCGATTTCAAAGCAGTGACTTCGACGAAGCGGCGGGGTAGTCAAGGACATCCAGCAAATGCGGGCAAAATGGAAGAAATGCACTGATTTCGTGTCCGTTTCCACTGTGCGGGCGCTGATGGGCTTCATCAAGAGGAAGGTTCGAGATTTCGTTTGAACTGGAGAAATGTAACCATCTAATCCGTAACTTTAAAGTACTGTAAAGCAGCCATTGATGGACTTATGGTATATTATGATTCTCTTTGGCTTTTCCTTGCAGTTTTCATCCATAAGAGCCTTCGTAAATATCTGCATACCTCTTTCAGAATCCCCATACAGGAAATTATTTAAATTGTCACTAGAAATATCTTAGTATTCTCAATAAGTCTTGCGAGAATGCGCTTAAATTTTTCTCCATAATTCTCTTAAAAAATTATCCTTTGAAAATTTATGCTTGGATTATTTCTAAAAATAACGATGGAGTTCATCTTGGAAATCTCAACAGGAATCATAGAATTCTCGCCGTTGACCTTCTTCTTAGAATTTATCAAGGATTCTCCTAGGAATTTCCTAGCAATTCTCTTATAAATTCCCTTGAAAACTACTTGTTTTGATCTCACAACTATAGACCGCATTGCTAAGGGTCTAAAGCTATGTGAAAAAGCTGTGTCTCAAGTAACAGTTTCACTTTTATCATGCTCTTGTAGAACCTCGATAAAACTTATAAAATGTTCCTTGGGATATTTTAATGCTTCAACCAAACCGGCCACCCTGAAGCTGTCCTGTGATCCGCTAGCCAAACACGGTGCGTATCAGCGGAGAACATTGAAAAGCTGCTGGTCTTCATCAACCTACGCCTGCGGTATATAATTCTTGATTGGTTACCTCACAATTTGATCTCGAATGCTGAGCTCCATCGTCAATGTCCGATATTCACAGATATTCGAGAACGTATGTAAGTGGAGGTGGAAACATGACATTACGAAGGGATCGAATCTAGGGACTAAATCTGCGGCTTGAGCGCTCGCGTGACCACCCGTAGTTGTCATACTAATACACTCAAGTTACACTTTTTTTAAGCGCTGTGTCGCAATTTACACGGTACGTTTGTAGCAATTTCTCAATAACGATCAACCCATCAACTTTTCAAAAAGTCACAATTCTTGGTGTAAATACATAAATTAAAAAAAAAATGCTTTAAATACGAATGGCATCAAATGATTTTTTTTTAAATATTTTATCGTGTGAAAAATCAAAATCTTGATAGGTATTTTTTTGCACGGTCTTTTTTTACGCGGCACATATCCCCGGAAAAAAAACCTGAGTGTATTGGCAGAACAGCTGTACTTGCACATAGAACCAACTTGCACATAACCCGCAACGTACAAGTACTCGTAATTCCATGCATTTGATATCACCGTTTCCTGTCACTCTTTGATTTCCCATACATCACCCAGGGGGCATAAACTTACTGTTCGACACGACACCTAACGTCGGAAAATGCAACCAACCTGCATTTGATTACAGTCAAAGGGTGAGTCAGTTGCAATTGTTACACCTGAAAAATCGAACTCTATAACATTAATTGCAATCAATGAAAAATCGTATGCACATTACTTAAGCCTGTAGATATCTATGGGAATACGAAATTAATAGTTAAAACAAGTTTTGTTTTAAAGCTTTGAAGCATCCCTCGTTATTGGCTAAAAGTCGTGTCTCCGGAATGACAAATGAGTGAACTATATTGTTAATGTAGTCTACTAAATAAAGGGGAGAAACCCGCACTTATCGAGGAGTGATAACTTTGATAATGAAACGGTATGAAATATAATTACAAACCGATTGACTTTGATTTTGTTTCTATTGCTCGGGATTCCTTGGATGGAGGCAGTTCAAATCGCGACTTATTCCGTTTCCAAGAACACTAATAAGGTTTTACTGGATTTTTGAATAGCGGAACTGTTCGGTAAAAGTTTAAAAATCTGTGGAAAATTAAAAACAAATGTTCCGAAACTTCTAAAGAGCTAGTTCTGTTAACCCCATTTAATGATAGAAAATAAAATTTGCCGATTTTATCGATACCTTACGGATAACGGTCATACGAATTTATACCGACTTTTCAGTAATTAAAAAACCCAGTTAAAAATACTGACTCCTATAAAAAAAATCCAAGCGTGTGAGTGTTGAATTTCTGGAAATATCGAAGGTATAACAGCTCCCTTGGCAGCTGTTGAGAGGCTGTTCATAAAATACGTAGACAGTTTAGGCGGGGGGGAGGGGGTTGACAATTATCCACGGCCCATACAAATTTTAAAAAAATGTATGGACAATTGTCTACGCAGGGGGAGGGGGTCAAGAATCCCAAAAAACTGTCTACGTAGTTAATGAACAGCCCCTAATTTGCCTACAGGGAGACAATTTGTAAAATTATTTTCTTAACAACAAAATATTTCATCAAAAGTATTCTATAACTTTAAGAAATTACAGTCAAAACACATACGTAACCTTTGGAAACGAACGGAAAATAAAACCAGCGTTCTTCTTCGACCAACTTTTCACGCCTGTTTTCGCATTCTCAATCGGTTTCGAGAGAGTCATTGTCTCGTGTTAACCTTGGAAAGTCGTTCACTTCGGTGATCTTCTATTTTCACCTACACCGATCGCAAGTGCGACACACAACGGCGAGGTGGATGTAATCTTTCGGACGGAATTGGCTCCGTTTTACTCAGCCAAATACCGATCCGTCATCGTTGGGCCAAATTTGTATTAGAAATGCCATTTCACTCTGCGACTAGAGTACACATTACTCAATATAATTGTTTGTTTCAAGCACAGCAAAACAAACAATCCTTATGAAATCAATTAAATACATCTCCACATACAGAGAAGGTAAAACGATGATGCACCGATGAGGCCGAGATCATCGCACTTTAACACACGCGAGAGCTCGGTCGCGCATAAATCTTTGCCTTCGGTGGACCTGTTTTCAGTGTCCTCCGGGGCGGCGCACAAGATCTCTTCACCCCGCGCAGACTTGCAGAACGAACTTCTTCGGCCATTAAGGGATGCTGCTGCAACCCGTCCGTCGCTGCATCATCGTTCTCTGCAGTCTGTTTTGGTTGTTTGTATGGAGCTCGGAAGCATCTTCGGGGGAACGTGAGTCGCATTTTTGCAAATAAGAACTCTGCCATTATTACTGGCCCGGCGGACGACGAGAGCTTCTGGCTTCTACTGTGCACGACCTGCAGAGCTTCAAGCATACAAAAAGGAATTGTACCATATTTTTGTCCTTCTTCTCTATGCTTTGATTTTGGACCATTTAGTTTTTGTTTGCCGAGCCGAGACGAAGATGTTTGTTGTTTATTCCTTGAACCGGTGGTGGCAGGAGGATGATGATGATGAAAATAACGATGATACTCGCCGGCGGCAGGAAGAACGACTGGGCAGACCAAATATACGTATTGCGCAGATTGTATCCCGAGCGGTGCACCGACTGCAGCAGCAGCAGCGGGAGCAACGGAAAACCGGATTTCTTGTTTATTGGTTGCTTTTTGTACCTGCATCTTCTTTTATTGACCCGGGCGGTGCGTTGCTAAAGTCGTCCGCTACGAGGTGGACACACTTGGTCGGAAGAATGGGGAATGTTATCAAAGAAAAACAATTCCACGCTATGTCACCTACAGGGTAAGCTCGGATCGGTTGTGGTTAGTCCTCGGTAAAAATAAACCGAGATGAGGGTAAACAAATAACCAAGTTTTAATTGATTTCATGGAATGAAGAGGGGGCTTGTAGGGTAGAGAACTAGTTCGGCATAAGCACCCATTTCCGTCATAGCGCAGGTCACATTTTAGGGGTATGTTCACTATTTTCAAGGCAGTCACTAAAACGCTACTAAAGTCACTATTTCTTAAAATTTAGTCACTGAAGTCACTTTTTGCGTTATTGGTCGTTATAGGTCATTCGTGAATTCTCTGGGGTGAGATTTGAATTCGTGACTTTGGCGTGAGAGGTATGGATTCTAACTACTACGCCGCGGTCGCCCCGAAACAATTTATTAAATTGTTTCTTAAAAACTCTGGATATCTTTGCAAATTTGTCAAGGATTTGCTTAGGTTCATTCCAAAAAGTGTTCAGAAATGATTTTACTTTCTGGATGTTCTTCAAAAATCTTTTGATTCTGCTCGGTATTCCCTAGAAATTTTCACCACAACAGTTTCGAAATTCTGTGCAGAATATTTTTTTAGGAATTCCTTCCAGAGAACTTTGGAAATTCACGCTTAAATTATCATAGTATTGTTAATAATTCTCACGGAAATTGGTTTCTTTTCTCTCCATAATTTTGATTATGGATTCGCTTACGGAAATCTCTTGATATGTAATTTAGAATAAGGAAATGTACTCTCCCAAAATTTCCTTGTATTTTATTTCAGAATTATTCTCAAAATGTCATTAAGAGGATCTCTTTGAATTATCTTAAAATTATCTTGACACTCTCCTTATTTCCGTTTGGAAATATCTTCAGATTCTCTTGGAGCACTCATAGTTTAAAACACAATTTATACCATCTTCAACCATAGGTAGCTCAGACTGACCACTTAACACTACACCCAACCGAGGAATGTAGAATTGGCTTACATATGTGGGATTCATCATCAGAGGATGTTAGTGGAGACCGCATGAACCGAGGATGCGATATACCTAGCTGCGGTCAATGCAAGAAAATTGGAGACCGAAAAATGTAGAGTGTATTAGTGAGTGTAATTTGTTATGTCGAAAAAAATAGGAAACAGATTGCCGAATGGACTCGAACCACGAACGTTGCGATTATCAGACCTGTGCTTTCTCCACTGCTCTGTCCATGCTTCTGATTATGTATAGCCTAAAAGCAAACACGAAGCGCTCATTTTCGCGCACGCGACTTCGTATGATTTTTCTGCTGGAGAGATTCATGGCAAGTGTGTGCGTCGTTCTTCAATGTTCTACAATGTGCGTCGTTCTACAAGCTTACTGGTATAGTCGAAAGCGTAGATAGAACACAAAATAAAAAAGACAAAAAACCATTACATCGCCTGCATGGTCAATTTCTAACATTCTTTGCGATGCTCATGAACAGAGGATGATAGGAAACGGAACTTACATTCATTGTAATAGATTTATGGTTTGCGTATAGACAACGGACAACACACAACGCCCAGTAAACCATTAAGGAAATTTCCTTTTTACGAAAAGTTCCACGGGTTGGAGCGAGAGTAGAACCCTCACTTCATGGCACTCACAATACGTCTGAACGACGCGTGACACCGCTAATCTCATGACCACGAAACCAACAAGAACATGGGAACATGCTGAAAATTGATGGTCAAAATCTCCCGAAAAATCCATTCCTTTAAATCCTCATTCTCGTTCTCATTCTCATTCAAAATTCTTATAAATTCTTCAAGGAATTCTCTTAAAACAATCTTCAAACTAGCAATGTAGATCGAATTGTTTTTTAAACAATTCCCAAGCTCAATCTATCAACTACCCTCAGTGTCTATCTAATTGTGGGAAAATATATACTTCACCCTCTTTTCTAAAAACAAATCTCGAGTAACATTTGAAATGGGCCTATATCCAAAACGTAAACTAATCGGGTTTTGATACCATTCTTTAGCACCGCTTGATAGCTACTAATCGTGTAGAAAAGTTCCGCATAATCGAGAAAAATCATTAAAAATAACTCGATTTTTCGAAACGGCCGATCCGAAATTTGTTGATTCATTAATAGGCCCGCACGCTTAAACGGCCAACCATTCATTTATTTTATTTCATTGATAAGCCTAGTGACGTAGAAGGGCCGATGATTGAAAAATTTCAAACCAAAGCTAGGCCCTACTGCTTGAGGCAGGGCCGATGATTTGTTTTGAATTTATTTGACGTTGCGAAAAGGCTTAGCAAAGGGCGTACCATTTCTGATGACAAGCACAACGGCTTAACAAAAAGGGCCTATCCATTGAAAGATTCACAAAAAGGCTTATTAATTTATGAAATTGAATTGTTATCGATTTTCATAAATTTTTGAAAGCTTTTCACATATTTTGTATACAACACTGCGATTCAGTTACTATTGTTATTGTGATATATTGTTGCCTAAAATACTTCAGTTTTCTTAAATATGAATTGAATAGTGGCGGAAAAATTGCAAATTCATTTCGTGGTTTGCTTACGTCTTAGAAATAGTCCCATTTCAAATGTTGCTGTAGAAATAAGGTGGACTTGACTAGATTTTTAGGATGCAGTCACTTAGAAGAACTACTAAGAGGATTTCAGCAATTTTGAGGAAGTGTCATGAATCTGATTGAACCACGTTGTCCATAACGAGCTAAATGCAAAAAAATGCTTTGTTTCAAAGGCCATTTTGCGAGAATATTGCCATGTCAATTCAGCGAGAATATCTGGGGCATTAATTTCGTTGGTCAACGAATAAGCCGAATACGAATACGGCTTGCAATTTTCAGGGTATCAATTTCCAGTAGCATCCCAAGTAACATTGCAAGCTTTATGGAGGTTATAATATCATTCCACAAGTCTAAATCATGATCTAAGAACTCTCACAAAACCAAAATTGTTACTTGGGATACAGCGATGTTCTTATGGAGGAAGATTCAATCCCAAGTAACATTGCAGGCTTTATCGAGGTTTTATAGCATCCTACAAGTCTAAATCATGGTCTACAGAACCCTCATAAAACCAAAATTGTTACTTGGGATGCATCGCGCCAAGGCAAGTGCTGGAGAGCTAAGCGTACACATTTTTTTCTGTACAGCCTCGAAGCGGTCGATCCAGTTTCTGCTGTATGGACACCATATTACCACCGCAGATTCCAACACAGAGCGTACTAGAGCACAGTAGGGGGATTACAGGTAAAGTGAATCAGCAACCTAATCCTGAGCTGCTTGTTAGATTTTGCTAAAGCTATCATCACACTGTTTGACAAAACGCCAAATATTTGGCAAATTTGAAAAAAATATATTTGACCATAGTATAATGGCCAAATATATGTGACCAATTTTTGCTATGGCAAATATTTGACGTGTATTTGACATTTCAATTATTTGGCATTTTGTCAAATAGTGTGATGCTTTTTGTTATTGTTTGTCAAGCATGTTTGCTCAATACTATCAAATAATTTATTTGACACTCTGAAATTTCTTGAGTAGCAAACATCAACAAATAATTGTGCAATTACTGGTTCTCGAAAAAAAAAATCAATTTTTTTGTGTTGTGAGCATTTTGATGATGGCAGAAGACTATTCCGGTGCTACTTTCGACGATGTGGAGAGTGTTGGAGCTCCAAGTCCAAGTGGGACGTCGAAATGTGCACGAAGAATCCGGAAAAAAGTGACGGCAGAGTGGAGCGAGGAAACCACTTTAACCTTGATCGTAGCCGGTTATAAGCCGCATGGTTATAACAATGGCTATAAGTTGTTGAAGAAGTCAAGATCTTTTCGCTGGTGGACAGTAGTTCAGAGCGTTCTTCCTTCGTGGCGCTAGTATACATGTGAATATCTCACTTATAAAATATCTCTTGATCCTGACCAGATAGAAAGTTACTGTCCAAGACAAAGTTGTTCAGGATGTTAAGATCTTTTCGTTGGTGTTCAGTAGTTCAGAATTTTCTCATTTCTTGGCGCTAGTATACATGTGAATATCTTGCTGATTAAATATCTCTAGATCCTGACCAAAGGTTGAAACAGTTGACGTTTTTTACTACACTCGCTTCGTTGTCGTGCGCGACAGTCTGTTTGTATTCGAACACTCATGCTCTACCGTCGTCTCTCTCACAAAACACGAGCGGTAGAATAACATTCGAGCTAAAAGAAAATTATCAAAATAGCTATCATATGACATGTGCGATTTCGTTGTAATTCCTTAATTTGGTGTAATTCAAACCATTTCTGATCAGAAATAGTATTACTAGGACATCATTACTTGTTATTTTCAGAATTCACACAAGTACACCATCAGCAGCTCTTATTATGAGAAAAACTAATATACATACATTCGTGACGGTCTTCGGCGACAGCGTCGTATTACAGAGCCTGTCATACGACATTTTAGTTTGGTAGTGTACTATGATAGCTTGTTTTGCAAGTGTCGGAGGCAAGGGCAGTCAATTATCACAGAAAATGTGTCAACTACCGTGACCGCTTACAAGACTGATCCTGACCAGATAGAAAGTTACTGTCTAAGACAAAGTTGTTCAGGAAGTTAAGATCTTTTCGTTGGTGTAAAGTAGTTCAGATTTTTTTCACTACGTGGCGCTAGTATACATGTTGGTCATTCCAGCTCAAGTGTATACACCACCGGTGGTCAATGTCACCGACTTGAACCAAACTTTGCCAAAACGCTTATTTTGACATTCTGAACAAACGACTGTTTTGGTTTTGCTCTTAAGTGCCTGGATCCATCTGGGCTACAACCCTGGATTTTTGAAATTTTTAGATATGTTATCTTTAAGAAGATATTACTCAACAACCAAGCAAGTTATTATTGATCTTGGTACGCAATATTAAAAGTATTTTCTTTAAGATTTTTATAGGTGTACTGACAATACAGTAACTACAGTAAACAGAATGATTTCCGGATGGTATTCAAGCTATCAAAATATGGGCTGGGATCCTTTATTTCAAATTTTCACTACTTTTTGGAAAACTCTTCTGAT